TTTGGGAAAAACTAACTTCAATCTCACAAATTTTAGTAGACATTTGGTATGTAAATACTACGGATTTCATCAAAGTGTGGCACGCATTAAAAAATTCGTCTGCGAATTTGCCTACGAGACGCTTGTGACTCCTCCCACTTGGAGGTGTGATTTTGTCTGCATTCCTTTCTCGGATATTCCCGTGCAACGTTCAATTCAAAATTATGGCGGAGAGTAGAAGGTACAAGTTCAAAGTTGAGTATGGAGGCGGGTGAAGTTTTCGATCAATTTCTACAAATTTTCCAGGAGAAAATCTTGTTATGATATCTCCACCACTTTCAACAATCTCATCTATGACGAGAGATCTCAAGTCACTACTTATGCTCTTTCCCCTCTGTAAACACGACCAAGTTCGCTTATGTTCATTGTGCATTTCGCGAGAAAGGAATGCAGACAAAATCACACCTCCGAGTGGGCGGAGTCACAGCGCCTAAGAGGCAAATTCGCAGACGAATTTTTTTACACGGCCTCTGGCACCCAGGGTATAATGCGTGCCACACTTCAATGAAATCCGTAGTACTATACAATATTCTCGTCCAATCTGTACTGGTGGACCTGTATGGGCTTCACGACGCGGGCTATGCATGTATTTGTTAACCATGTTATACGGGTGGAAGTGGTAGCCATTTTGAATTTGATGTTGATTAGAGATACATCAGTGTACCCTAGTGTAATGGGACGACCGCTCTCGGTACGAGCTCCGGGATCTTTATTCTACTTTCTCTGACTCTCTTCTTCTTCTCTTACTTAAACTAATTACATGAGCTCTATTTATAATAACTTCATGACATGTGTCAGTCTACAATCAATATGATATTATCGCTGTGTCTTGATTGGCTAAAGGAAATAGTAAATTCCTAAGTGTGATATCTTAATAAGGAGTAATACAAGTGAAAATCTTAGAATTAAACATAGCTTAAACTAAAGTTACAGTCAAACAAGCTCAAGCGTTGACCCCTAGATTCGATTAATGAAATCATTAGTCAATTATTCCTTTTATACGTACGAACCGGAATAATGCAATATTGCAATATTCAAATGAAAATTCAGTTCATTATTCGACTCGTGATGAAGAAGGTAAATCA